TCTGAAAGCACTACTGGCCTAATTAATTCACAAAATTAAAGTAGGTTTAAAGCATGATTCAATAATTAATTTATTATTGAATCATGGGTTTATAGAGCTTTATAAATTGACGTTTACATATATTTTTCAATTTATAAACCTTTTATAGAGCTACTCTATTTTTTATGAATAAGGCCATATATCAAATTTTTTTTTCGTGTATATTATACTCTGTTCTGACTTCTCTTTAGAACAGTCTAGTCAATAAAGTTGTGTTTCAAAAGTTAATCAAATGATCCTTTTTCCAAACCAATGCAGTTTAGCCTGCGATGTAAATGAAAATGTTTATAAAGTGGACCATTTCACGTAAATAAGAAAGGCAACGAAGTGAAGTGTGTAAAGTGAAAATATGTTTCAAGAAAACCAAAAACGATGTGCTGTTTGTTGCACTGATGTTTACCAAATAACTTCAAATAATGTTTAAAGTGTAATTCATGTGCGAAGAATAATTAAAAGAAAACTTATACAAATTGAAATATCATATCCTAATGCGTTTGATTGCATTCAATTCTCAAAATTGAGATTTTAAACTTCTGCCCAGTGTGATTTTCGTGTAATGATATGCAACTTAAACAGGTGAGCTATTTACATACATATGTGAGTAGGTATTTCGGAATATTTATTTTTCAGATGGTTAACCAAACCATCGTCTATACCATGATAAAAATATAGTAAGGTAGAACCGCTGAGAGTCACGTTTAAAATTCTTGACGTTTCCAAACAATTTAATTTTTAAATTTACTCACAAACTCACACACACATTTTCATTTTCAATCGCAAGCAACAACAATTTCGAACAATTTCAATTTTTTGTTTTCACTTTTATATGATTTTAAAATGTTGGCAAACTTAAAAAAAAAAATCATGGCCGACAAATTGAGAGAACGGTTCTACCTTGCTATGTTTTTATCATGGTCTATACTATAATTTTATATAAAAATCTACTGTAGTAAATGGCAGCGCTTTATGTTTAGCTTCATTTGCTATTGTTATTGTCTCTCTTCTTTTCTCCGATTTTCGTCACATTGGAAAATTTTTACATTCTCATATACATATAGCTATGTCTCTTCTACTATCTTCTATATTCTTTTATTGCTCAACAGAAATCTCAAAGAACTTAACCAAAATGGCGGATACATTCATAGTTAATGAAATCGCTTTAGTTCCAATACTTCCATTTTCCAGCGTTGCAGAACTTTCGTATTGAAAATACATTTTTAGATGTAAATGTTTTTGTTTTCAATAATGAAATCACTTCATATAGATGTACAAACATATGTATGTATATACATACATACATTCCCAGCAGAACTTTGGAGCATCGTACGATTGCTCGGTCAGTAGTTCCTTGGGAGTATACAAATAATCCCCATTGCGCCCTATCAGAGCTGGGTCGTAATGATTCCTTTAGGAATTAAATTACTTCCAATTACAGATTACAAGGAATTGTAATAGGAATGAATTCCTTCAGTCCACAGCAAAGGAATCGATTACTTTCTGAATTCCTTGAAGTAATTTCAAATTTAATTGTTTTTTTCTTTAATTAATGCTAGCATGATACAAAAAAGAAGGTAGTTGTCACTTTTTCGTCGCCATATTAACAACCTGACTATTAAGCAGATTGTGACATTTCGTGCTACCATATCCAATATCTAAAATCCTTCAAATTTTATTATTAATGTTTTGTTTATTTAAAGCATTTTGTTCTTATAATCGAAATTTGAACAAGCAAACGGTCTTTTGTTGGGTGAGGTTCGGTTATTTGTCCAATGATTTTGGGTTACTGTGTCCACACGCGTATCCCAAATAAAAAAATGTGAACATACGCCTGCGATCAAAGGATTAAAATTTGATTTAAAATAAAGCTTTAAAATTTTTGAACACTAAATTGTTAATAAATTCGGTGTGAAATATGCACGCGGAGAGGTATTCTGCGCGTAAGTCCTTTGATTGCCGTAACCAGAGCTTACATTTTCTGGCAAAATGCTAAGTTTACCCCATTTTCAAATTGGTGCCGAGCGGTCAGAGAGGTGACGGGTGACTTGCCTTAAGTTTGGACCGTTCTCTTTCTAAAGGGTGGAGTGATAAATTTTTTTCAAACCCGCTCCAATATTGAACAGTAAACTATATTTAAGGGATCCGCAAGCCACCATAAAAGTCGTATTATGAAATTTCACACCGTTAAAAAAGAATTTGGTTGTTCAAAAGTTTACGACACACGACAATAGGACGATGACGACACCTTGTGAACCATCTAAATATGTATTAAATTCACACCGAAATGTGTATATCAGAAACAATTATCTTCGGTATAGAAAACCGTAAAGGTCACGTCTATAAACCTAGCTGACCCAAGTCGCCAAAAATCAATAAAAATTAGCTAGGAATTAGGTGTCTTTTAGGTGTTAATTAGGACCTCCAAAATTAATTTAGGTGTTCCTTTGGTTTCCGAGAAATTCGCAAAAATGAGTGGGTCAGCTAGGTTTACGTAAACCTAGCTGACCCATCGTTAAATTTAGGTTTTATATTTTCCAGATATATGCTGGAATTAGGTGTCTTTTAGGTGTTCTTCAACGCCACTAAAACTAATTTAGTAGCTCCATTGGTTTCCGAGAAATTCGCAAAAATGTGTTTTTCAGCTAGCTCAGC